GGGCGCGGGCGCGGCGGCGGCGGCGGCGCGCGCGCGAGGAAAGGGGGGGGGGCGGGAAGTTGGACACTGCATGTGGACGGGGGCATGGAGTTGGGGGTCCGCCCGAAGGGGTCCGATGGGCGCTGAACTTGAACGGGGGAGGCGGACCTCGGGGCAGCTCTGGGTGCGACGACGACTGGCCGCGCAGAGGCGGGCGCTACGACAGGACACTGGCGCGGGCCCGCCCAAAGGCAAACGGTGGCCACTCAAATTGGGCACTGGGCTGGGGACGGCAAGGTGCAACGGCGACGGCCCCATCAAAGTAGATCAGCGCCGCAGAACACGAGTCTGGATCGTTGGCCACCGCGCTGGGCGCCCGAGGCAGCCCCAGGTTGCTGCGACAACGGCGCACGACCGAGCGGCACTAACGTTGGGGCCTTGTCATGCCCCAGCCGAATGCAAAGAAGCGCTCGACGTGGACGATCGAGACGGCCGCGGTCGACGCGAAAACAGCCCACGCAAAGAGGGCTAAGTTCGGACAGGGGCGTGGACCAGCGCCCGCCTGAAGACGAAGGACGGACATCAAGTTCGGGCACGGCTGGGCTGGGCGCTCCAGGCAAGCACGGTGGCTACGACGACGGCCGAATCAACTTTGGGCACTACACGTAGGCGCCGCGAACGCCGCGAGGCCAATGGTGGAGACCCCAGCTGGACACAGGACTGGGCCGCCCACGCGTTCCGGTTTTTCGACAACGGCGGGCGCTCGAACATGGACGCGGGCCTGCGCCCGTCGAACGTCCAACGGTGGAGCCCACGGGTGGACACCAGCTTGGGCCCGCTAGGAGGGCGGCCCTGGTTGCTACGGCGACGGCCCACGCAAAGGTGAGCAACTTCGGTTGGACACGCGCGCGCGCGTCCACGAATGCACGCCGTTGCGCGCAGCATCCGTGCACGTGGGGCACGAACTACAAAAGCAGAAAGACACCCACGCACTGGGCGGCAAGTGCGCAGGCACTGCAACACATAAAGGAAACACATGGACACATAAGAATACAAACGTACATACTTATATATGTGAGTGTGCACGGGCACTCCATGTTTGAGTATTATGTAGCTACGCGTGTAGATAGTGCACGCCCGATCCAGGTGCCCAAGATTCATAGCAAGAATGCCCAGGAGTCCCTGATAAGCCCTGGAGCCCCTGGAGTCGCGATGACCAATGTCCCACGAATACCCTGGAGCTTGAATGTCCACGTGACAGTGGATTCCTGGAGCCTCTCAGAATGGCCAGCAATGCACGCAGGTGGAGAGAGTGTTGTTGTGACCATTTTGTTTTCTACATGCGGGCTCACCCGCACAAATGTGCAAGGACAAGTGCACGCACACGCGCACACAGAGTCACACAAACACACGCGTGAAAGGGAGGTTCCGGCCAGCGGCGCGGGGGTGGCGCACGGGCACGGCCCTCAGCGTTCGTGCCGCCGCGGAGCGCGACGGGGCAAGGCTGCGAAGTCACCCTCCCTCCTCCCCTTCTCCCCCATCTCCTCCTGCTCCTCCATCCTCCCTCCCCCTCCTCCTCCTGCTCCTCATCCGTCTCCTCCTGCTCCTCCATCACCTCCTTCTCCCCCTGGTCCCCCATCTCCTCCTGCTCCTCCATCCGCCCCCTCCGTGCTCGGCCAACGCCCGAAAACGATGCCGAGCCTCAGCCCGCCGCCTCACTCACTTAGCAGCCCACATGTTGGCGATGAGCTGGTGGTCAGTCTGGACCTGCTTGTCGTGCTCGTCGAGCTTCTCGTTCGAGGTGTCTGCGACCAGGTTGAGCGCCGTGCGAAGCTTCCTGAGGCGCCTGAATGCCAGCTGTTTGGCGCGCAACTCGATCTTGTACTTCCTCAACGCCTTGCGGTACAGCTTCTTTGAAACCAACCCCTCACCTGCTTTGGGCATGGCGGCTGCGCGCCGCGCCGATGCGCAAGAGTCCGCACACTGGAAGGCCGCCTCTAGCCTAAACAGCATCGTGAAACAACAAGTCGGACGAACGGCACACGCATGCTTGACCCTGCACGCACTCCTTCCTCATTCCTCCTTCCTCCGTCCTCGTTCCTCCCTCCTGTCTCATCCCTATCATTCGTCACTCCTCCACTCCTTCCTCAATCGTCATCCATCCTCCCTCCTCCCCCATTCCTTCCTCATGTGCGAGGTTGGGAAGCGACGGCGAGCAGGGGCACGATGGGTAGGCGGGAGGGGAGGGGGTGATAGCCACGGGACTGATGAGGGGCAGTAGGAGCATGAAGGAGGGGAGGCGAGGGGGACGATGAGGAGCGAGGACCCCGACGGACGCGAGGGCCGCTGTGATCTTGGCGGGCACGAGGGGGGCATGGGGGGCGCCCGCGCCACGAGGAGCATGAAGAGCACGAGGCAAGCAGGAGCATAATGATAGTGAGGAGAATGAGGAGCAGGCAGGGAGTGAGTCTCGTCTCGTGCGCTCGATCTTGTACTTCCTCAACTCTCAACTTGCGGTGCAGCTTTCCTGAAGCCAAACGCCTCAGGTGCCAATGTGTCTGGCGGCGCCAGGCGGCTCACTCACGGGGGCACGCCGCGTCGGCGCCGCAACGCCAGCACGGAGGTGCGGGAGGCCGGTTCTGGACGATTTCATTCGCCAGTCGATCCAACTCATCCTCCGTCACATCAGGGAAAGGATCGCGAGCGGCAAGCGACGCTGGCGAATGCATATGGACGGGCCTCTCTCCGCAACCGCAAGCGCGCCCCATCAGGAGCCAACCCTTGACCCGCCTGCGAGCCTCATTGCACGAGACGCCCGCGTTTATAGTACATGATTTCGCACACCGGAGGTGCCTCGCAAGCGGGTCGACATGCTCTAAACAATGGCCAGCTAATGCTGTCACTACCTTCGCGCCGTCTCCTCTGGCCTGAACTTCGTTGATTGTCCACGGGCCAAATGGGAAGCGCGCGAAGCCTGGCCCGCCTGGGGGGCCAGGGCCGCGGCCTCCACCTCCGCCCCCCCCCCTCGACGACGGGCGCCTCCAGGGAGAGCCCGCAATATCTCCAGGATGCTGGCGTCGTCGTCGTACAGGGGAGGCGGCGGGGGCGCGGGCGGCGCCCCCGCGCCCTCGGCGCCGCCGCCAGGCGGCCCTGGATCTCCTCCAAGGCCACCCTCGCCGCCAGGACCAGCGCCGCCACCGCCAAGGGAATCTGCGCCACCTTGAAGGCGACCCGCGCCCCTCCACCCCCGAATCCAACGAAACTCCACCCAGGGGGGGGGGGGCGATGGGGCCGAGGAGAATAGCGAGGAGGAAACCGTGAAGGAGGAAGCGGAGGATGGAGGATGAGGGAGGGGAGGGGACGGGAGTGCACGGGGTGAGGACGGAAGGGGCAGGGCAGGACGGAGGAGGCAGGAGGCCCCACGTTTCTGGCCCAAACCCTATTCGAACAAAGCTTGCGCACCGCATTGACCAGCACCCCCCGCGAGCCCCTCCCACCCCCCTCGCGATTGCCCCTCAGCGAGGACAACTGGTTAGCAGAGAGGCTCGCGAAGGCGGGACGGGGGAGAAGCACGCGCGCTGGGCGCGTGCTGGGGGGGGGGGGGGGGCGGGGCGGGCGCGAGCAAATGCGGTGCGCAAACTGAATCCCATGCCGATTCACACCCCAAGTTGAACGGCAGCCTCGCACCTGGAGGCGCCGCAGGTGCAGCGCCCAGCGCCGACGCGTCCAGGTCGTCCTCGCCCGCCCCCCCGTCGTGCGAGGCATCGGTGAGGGCGCGTCCGTCTGGCGCCTCGCAGCCGCCAATTGGAGTGCCTGGCCCAACCTCTCCGCCATCGCCTCCCAGTGGACGACCATCTGCACCGAGAGCCCCAGGGTCAAAATCGGAGCCAAGGTCCTGGTGGTGGTCGAGGCCCCTGACATCCGAATCTGCGGTAGGGAACTGCACGCCATCGGAGTCCTCGTGGGATTCGTCTGTCTTGTCATATCCCTCGCCGCCGCTCATGTCAAGGATTGGCGAAGGCTCAGACCTCTTTCTCCGGCCCCGCTGACGGGGGCGAGGCTGATTCCGAGGACCCCTCGGCTTCGACGGCTTCGGGGCAAGGGCGGCATCCACGTCGGCCTGTCCGTCCCAGAACTTGATCTCGCGGAGATCGGGCTGCGAGCAGGGAAGCTCGTGAACTGTGGCGTCGGACGGGGACATTCGAGCAACTTGTCGGCGGCTCGTATCGAATGTAAAAAACGTACGTACCAATGGTCACACTTGGCCAATTGGCTCAACAGACGTACCTGGTGCAAGTGTTCCCACGTAGAAATGCCGTCGTAGTCCGGACCGCCTGAGGCCGTCAGCTCGTCCAACGGGAGCCCACCCGCAGCATCAACCTTCTCGTCGCGCAGGGCGACCTCGAGAAAGTAGCCGTGGAAGTCAGATCTGCTGAGGGTCTGCCAGCCACAATGGTAGAGGCGCTGCTCTGCAACTCTGAATGCTGGATCGCGCCCATCGCCTTGAGGCTCCCCGACCTTGCGCGTCAGCAGGTACAATATGTCGGAATGTGCCAACAACTTCGACGCAACACCCTGGTGCAAGCGCCGCTTCACGGCAGACTTGAACTGTTTGAACATGTGCACTGTGACATTCACAGGGTTGTCGCACAACTTCAAAGTTATGGCAATAGCACGGGGTGTCTCTCGACCTAGCTTTAGCACCATCGATCTTTGGGCACTCGCTGAACAAGACTGGGCGATGCACTTTGCGGAAGTGTTCGAAGAGGTGTCGGTTCATCTTCTGGGCTCTGGGATTCGTCAACGAAGCCGCAGCGACGCCGCGCGACGCCTCGGTTACGAATGCCCCAGGAGCAGCGTGGTGGCTGATCGACCCGCCTAGCGCGGCGGCAGTCGTGCTGGGGGCGGGCCCGTAGTGCGGGCAGGTGGACTCGACCGCCTTCTTCAAGAAGTCCATGGACTCGCCCACCCCGCCCTCGCTGAAGGCGACAAGGGCCTGATCGACCAATCGATCGAGTTGAGCAGTCTTCCTGTTCCTCCAAGCCTCAGCCTTGCTGACCTGCGCCAGCGTCTGGCCCCACTCGGTGAAGGGCAAGACCCCGAGCTCCTCGACCTCGTTAGTAGAAGGCTCCAACGCGGGCACGCCCGAGGCCACGAGCTCGTCGGACAAGCGCTTCTGTTGTTCAAGCCTCCGTCGCCGAAGCAACGCCATGTCAATGTCTCTGTTGTTCATGCCGAAACCTCGACCTCCTGCCGACCAAGCGGCCTCGGCATCCTTGCCCTTCCTGTGGAGCCGCTCCCGCCCGGAGGCGCTGGTCTCCCTGAACTGCTGGCCACGGCCAGGCGCGGCGCAGCCGCCCTTGGTCCCGCGAGTCTGCTCAGAAAGGAAAGCGCGAAACGTCCAGCTCCCCCTCTTCATGCGTTTGCGAGGCTGCTCAGGGGCCTCGTCGTCCGCTTGCTCAGCGCCCGCGTCCACTGCAGCCAAGCCGCGATCGAGACCGCGCGGTGCAAGTCTACCGAGTCTTCGAACTGCGCGGGCAATGTGCTTGGCACTCACGGTGTGGATATGAGGCGACGTGGTCTGAGTGCTCAGCAGATTGACATCCCGTCGAATAGCAGCATGCCCATCTTCAATTGCAGCAGTCTCTTCCTGAAAGGCCAACTTCAAGTTCCACAGGTCATCGAATGCAGCAGGCCAAAAGGGGCCATCCTCAGTACCTTCCCAGTAGGCGAACCACGAAGACACGAACGAGCCTGCAGCATGTCTGCATGGAAGCCGTGCGTACCAATCCCTGAACTAATCCAGGCTGTTCAAGTGGGCGAAGACTTGGACATCCGCTCGGCCACGCACATCATATATCCTCTCACTCACCATGCATCCGCATGCGCTCAAGTACTTGAAAGCCAGCGATCGCACCTCGCACGAGCGGGAAGCTGGCGGGATAATGCTCCAGATATCGGACGTCGTGAAAAGCTCGCGCATCTCCCCCAGCGCAACAGTCTCCAATTGCCGGCTTGCAGCGACATCGGCACGATACAACCTGCGCTGTCCCTGGGCGGCGCGCACCGACTGGCGCCAGTCCCACTTGCGCCCTGCCAATCTCAATTGCGCGTGCATCAACTTCCAGAGAGGCCCAGTGCACAACCTCACGACGTAACCCACGGACCCAGCCGCGCCCCAGGATATCCAAGTTACTGCGGATGCACGGTACTCGCGCTGCAACGCCTCTAAAGCTTCCTTGCGCACGGGCGAAACACGAATCTACGCATGGTCGAACCGATACTTTCCACCTCGGATCACCAGGGCCGCCCTGGACCCCCCCCCCCCCCCGACCACGAACCCCCGACCCGCAAAGCGTTGCCAACAAAAAAACGCCGTTTCAAACCTACCCCAGAAACGACCATCCGAGCGCATGTTTCGCCCGCGATCCCTCGGGCCGCTGGGGGCGCCAGCATTGCCAACATCGCCTCGGTCAGCAGCCCCGCGGCCACGTTCATCGGCAGGGGCTCGGCCGCCTTCGGCGTCATCGGCATCGGCGGCAGCTGGGTGCACTGGCAACTCCTCCGCGCAAATATCGGCGTCGACGTCGGCGGGCGGCGCTGGGCGGACAGCGACCTTCACGTTGAAATCCCGACATGAATCAGACGCAAGACCATGAATAGACTCAGGCAGCAGCCAACCATCCACAGCCGCCACGGCATTCGCCCACCGCCCTCTGGGGAATATGGGAGGGAGACTGCCGAATACGGCCTTCACGAACCAGCGCCGCAATTCCATTAGACAGTGAAGCCGCGACTTGCAACAGCCTGCGCGGCAATAATGCTCAAAAACCCCACGCTTGAACAAGTTGCTGTTCGCGAGCGTGCTCACGATCCACCTGCGGCGTCTGTAGATATTTGACCTCGTACTCGACTGGTCGAAGAATGAATTCCAGACACGCTCTCGGTGCCTATCAGCAGCAGCGCCAGGGCCGACGGCATCTTCCTCGCACCTAAATCGCAGCGTTCTCCCTAATCGCTCCGAGACGCACCCCAGGAACACGTTGAACTGGCCAGGCCCTCGGAGTGATAGCGCCCAACGAATGCAACCTGTAATCCAAGCCGAGACAAAAGTTGCAGAGCGAGACATGACCTGAGAGACCCTATGCATGACACATCTGCTTCTATATGTATGAACGGGCATGGTTGCGCCGTCGACGCTTGAATGGGACAGGAAACGCTCTGCTCGATCGATCGCACCGTCTCCATCCGTGATGCTCATGCGCTGCTGGCGCATGAACCTGGTAGAAGAAGGAACTAGAACTGTATCAAGCCGCATGAACTCTGCGTAGCACTCCCCGACGCAGCGCTCGATGCACATCAAAGGCCGAGGCAACTCGAATGACAAATAAGCGGAATCAAGAAGACCTATTCTGAATTGCGCGCCCATGATAACCTCGCTTTGAACGATCTTGCATGCAATGCCATTGTGGATGTCCTGCTCGAGCTGGTCAACCATGAACTCCACGAGCGCACCCTCGCCGGCGCCTGCGAGAGCCGCGGCGCCCACCAACGACCTCTCTTCTTCGCCCAGATCGAGCGGGCTGCCTGCAATTACCCTGGCGAACTGCGTCTCGTCGTAACGGTGCCTGCGGTACAACACCTCACCGCGGCCGCCCTTGGACTCGACCTCGTCAAGAAGGCGTCTCAACATAGTCTCCAATTGAAACTCTGAGCTAGCGCAACAAGCGCTGGATAGCACAACGCGAGCCCGATTGATCTTTTTCGCACCCACCCCTGCAGCGGAAGCCTCGGCGACTTGCGAAGCAAGATGAAAACCCTTCTTCTCTGGATCAACCTGGGCGCCCACGAAGTCAACACAATCAACAGTTCCATCGAGGTGGCCCAGACTGCTCTCGCCGCGACACACAGCGCGAAAGAAATTCACAACGCGTTCGCCGAGAGCTACTGCTGCTTCCGGCGTGCCGACAGGCCCAGCAATCATCTCCAAGGCGGGCGGTTCGCAGAGGGCCCCTTCCTCGACAGCGGGGTCCACGGCCACGACCGCGCCAGGCCCCGAGGCAGACGGCATCTGATCGGCGCGGTCGCCGTCGTCACCGCTGGCGAAGATGTCCTCCCATGCCCTTTGGATGAGAGAGCGTTCGGGCGCGTCGCCCTGAGACAGACCAAGACCCAAAATCCCATCGTACTCAGCACCGCCTCGGCGAGGCGAACCCAGAATATCATCCCACTCACTCATAATACATGGAAGTGTCGAAATATCACAATGACCCGCGCGTAGTGTTTGAGCCAAAATGGCTGCGGCGACGGCGGCAGAAGCGCGGAGGACTAGGGGCATCGTGCGGACGGGGGGAACGAGGCAGAGGAGCAGGCCAGAGAGCTGTCAGAGGAGGAGGCGGACGCGGGGCAGAGGAAGAGGGAGAAGACGAGGGGGGGATGGAGGAGGGGTGGGAGGGGTGAGATGGACGAGAAAAGATAGGATGGCCCTAGATCGCACTCCAACACGCAACGTAAAATATCGCACAGCTCCGCGCGCACTTCATTTTCAATATGAAGATTTACGTACATGTCACGAATGACCCCATTTCGCTTCCATTACAAAACCATGTGTTTTCGAGGCACCCATTACGGCCACCATTTCCGATACCATGTTCTGGAAGGCAAGTATTTCAGGGACCATGTCGAGCCCCATTTCGAAACCATTCGCTCGAACCATTTCAAAACCATTCCAGAACCATCTCAAAACCATTCTGCGATATCCGCCACAGTACGTGGCTTGCCCCTCCACAACCTTACCCAGACCGGGAACGCCACCTGCTGCTTCGCCGGCGCCGTCTCGCCCGCGCCGAACCTCGACGTCTCGCGGCACCTCGCCGCCATGATCTCGCTGGAGAAGCCCAAATTCTGAAGCATCTCACGCCGCGCTGGCCACTCCTCGAGACCCATCACTGGTTTCGCAGCTCCACTGTCGCCGACTGCTTGTCCCGCATCCAGGCTTACCTCTTCAGGCGCAGCCGTCTCCGGGCTTGGCTCAATCTCCGTCATCGCCATGTCGCCGCGCATCTCATATAGCATCTTCGCGTCACCTGGTCCGTCGGCTGCAACGCCGTCTCTTCGTCGCTTGAACCTGAGGCCGCGCTGTTGCGTCAATCCTGCCGCCGTCATCGTCGGGAATCCGTCCGGGCGCCACCCACCTCTGCATCCACCTCGGCCCCCATAGGTTGCCCTGCCAACGTGCCTTCCTTTCGTCTTTCCTTCGCTTGAGCTGCCGCGAGGCCTGCCGAAACCTGGGCTCGCCCGCCCTCTTCCATTCGGTGGCCGAGCATTGCCTGCTCGCGGTGGCGGTAGTCGTCGTCGTTCGCCCATCAACGCCACCACTGGGTAGAATCCTCGCGCCGTTGCCAGCTCACGCATCTTTGCTCGTGAGTCCGCGTAGTTCGCGAAGGCCTCCTCCGTCGCCTCATAAGCGTCCTCGAGCTCCTCCGGAATCGGCCCAACGTCATTCGCTCACCAGTCGTCGTATTCCTCGCAGTACAGATCCTCGGCGCCGTCGTCGTCGCACCAATAGGCACCCTCATTTTCCTCGTCGGCCCATTAGTTTTCACCTCCTTCGTAGCTTTTGTATCTATACGTATTCACCACGCGGTCGATGTCCTTCTCACGTGCTGCGGTGCATCCTCCGAACATCGCGTTGAGAGATACCGTCACGACCTGCCCCGTCATCTTGTTGTTGCAAAGAGCCTTCAGTTTGGGAACTTGCCACCGTGGCATCGCTGATCTCATCATCAGGTACCAGCACGCCCAGAGGTCTGGCTGCCTTTCGTAGCTTCGCCAGTTCTTGGCCGCGTCGGAGCACGCGCGCGCTCAATGCTCCCATCGGTTGTCCCGAGAACTCTCCAATGTACGCGTCGCACCTGCCTGGCTGTTCCACCTCCGGCGTATATCTGACCAGCACGTCCAGCTTGCCGAAGATCTCATCGAACGCCACTGCCGCGTTCATACTCTCGAAGTTGATGCTCTCACAGACATCCCAGGCGCCACCCTGCAGAGACTGAGGAGGCAGGCGCCTTCACTCACCACTGGGTCTCCTCGCCTCGGGCACAATCGTTGGAACACCGTCGCTCTCCGTCCGAAATTGCGGTACACGTCGTGCCGCAAATTTGTCAAACCCGGGCAACACTTCGCCAGACCTGCATCCATCCATGGCTGTCGCTCCGTTACCCTTGCCGAAACCCTTGTCTCGGCGCCCGTCCCGGAAGTCACTTTCCGCATCGCCGCCGTCGAGCCGCACTCTGTCGGCCGCTCCAGCTCCTTTTCCAAGCTGATCCACTTGACCTGCTGCGTCTCACTGCCGCTGGCCTCGGCCCCCGCCCTGACTTGGAGGTCGTGGCCCTGTCGGCCCAGAGCCGGCAGGCCTCATCGCGTCTGCTGGAGAGCGCGATATCTCCACGAACGAAGTCTTCCGATTCCGTTCGCCGCGGATCTGGAACCGATGGCTCCGCTACCAATGTCGGTAGCACTCCTCTGGAACCACCGAGGTTCTGCCACACGGAGTGACGAACCGAAACAATAGGAAGTGGAAATAGAACAGGAATCGAAAAGATGCGCTCGTAGTTTTGATTGACTCAGGGGCCCCTCGGTACTTGATCAATAACAGCACCGGTGCGAGCTAGCTCACGTGTGCGTCAGCACACGCACATATAATCATCAACAAATCACACTGGGCTGCGTTACTGCAATAACAAAACATGGCATACGAAACCACATCGGCACGGATCCTGTGCCATTGACAAGGAGGAGGAGGAGGAGGAGGAGGAGGAGGAGGAGGAGGAGGGGGACAGAAGGACGAGGCGGCGGGGAAGACGGAGGATAGGGATTGAGGGGGAGGAGGAGGAGGATGGTCGGATGAATGGAAGAGGAGAACATGGAGAAACGTGGAAGAGGAAGCTGGGGAGGAGTTGGAGGACGGCGAGGAAGGAGAGCAGAATAAGACGCAGGAGAAGAAGCAGGAAGGGGAGCAGGAGCAAGAGAAAGACTCCCCCCTTCTCGCCTCTCCCTCCCTCTTCCCCGTGGTAAACGGACGTCATCATCATCCTCCTCGTCCTCCTCGTCTTCATCATCATCATCATCATCATCATCATCATCATCATCATCATCATCATCATCATCATCGTCATCGTCATCGTCATCATCATCATCATCATCATCATCATCATCATCATCATCATCATCATCATCATCATCATCATCATCATCATCATCAACATCATCCGCCAATGTCGGACTGTCAGAGCGCAACAGTCACGTTAATGCGCGGTGCTAAAGTCCCAGGAACGGCGCTCTGGCATGATCCAGAATCGTCAACACGCAAGAATAACGGTGATTCGCGGAGTTAAAATCCAAGAGTTGGCGTTCTGGCACAATTCCGGATTTTCAAAAGAATGTCTTCGAACAGGGCATCTCCCTCCGTGAAGATGAACCGGTGGAGAAGCCTATGAAGAGGGAGCTTGGGGGGAGGGTTTACTGCAATACCATTGGTGAGTCTTGGGTTTACACTGGTCTTACTCCTCCTCTTCGTCCTGCTCCTCCTCTCATCCTCCTCCACCTCCTCCCCGTCCTCCTCCTATTCCTCCTCCTCGTCCTCTTCGTCGTCCTCCTCGTCTACAAATCGTCTACAATAACATCTTCTACATAACCATAACCATCACCCCCGTCACCATCAACAACATCACCACAACCACTACCACAATCTATCTACCCACCCGTCCGTCTGTCGGTCCATCCATCCATCCTCCTCGTTCCTCCCACTCTCCCTCTTCTCCCTCCTCGTCCTACTCCTCCATTCTCCTCCATCACCCCTTCCGCGCTTCCTCTCCCTTCTGCTGCTCACCCCGCAATGCCCCTCCACGCGCAGCCCCAGCCCCAGCTTCCGCCTCCAGGGCAGGCAACAAGAACGACGCCGTCTTGCCCGAGCCAGTCTCCTGGGGACCAGCCCACCGCGCCACTGGGGGACGTTCCTTAAAATACCGCCTCCTTTTCCTCCTTTTCCTCCATTTCCGCCTCCTCCGCCTCCTCCGCCTCATCCTCCTCCTCCACCTCCTCCTCCTCCTCCTCCTCCTCCTCCTCCTCCTCCTCCTCCTCCTCCTCCTCCTTTGCCTCCACGTCACTCTTCCTCGTCTTCCCCGCCTGTCCTCGTTACTCCTCCTCATCCTCCCCCTCCTCCTCCTCTTCCGCCCTTGCCTACTACTCCATCATCTTTTCCTCCCCTGTCCAACTCTTTATACCCCTTCCTCTCTCCGATCCGTTCCTCCTCCCCCTCCTCCTTCTCCCTTCCCTTATTCCATCAATATGCTCCTCCTTCGTGTCTACTTTCTCCTCCTCCGCCTCCTCCTCCTCCCCCTCCTCCTCCTCCCTCCTCCTCCTCCTCCTCCTCCTCCTCCTCCTCCTCCTCCTCCTCATCATCATCATCATCATCATCATCATCATCAGAATCATCATCATCATCATCATCATCATCATCATCATCATCATCATCATCATCATCATCATCATCATCATCATCATCATCATCATCATCATCATCATCATCATCATCATCATCAGCAGCATCATCATCATCAGCATCAGCATCATCAGCATCATCATCACCATCACCATCACCATCACCAGCATCAGCATCATCATCATCAGCATCATCATCATCATCATCATCATAATCAGCACAACCCACCATCATCATCAGCAGCAGCATCGTAAACATCATCACCATCATCAGCATCACCACCACCGCAATCAGCATCACCACCACCACCACCATCATCAGCAGCATCAGCATCAGCATCAGCATCATCATCATCAGCATCATCATCATCATCATCATCATCATCATCATCATCATCATCATCAGCAGTAGCATCAGCAGCATCATCAGCAGCAGCATCATAGTCATAATCGTGCTCCGTGCTTTTCGCACTGGCAGACATGTCCATAGGACGCCCGGCGATTCGCAAAAAACTGACCCCTACGTCTGATACTGATTGTTGGCATGTCGTACACTTGCGCGGATGGCGGGTGTGTTCCAAGATATGGCTCTCACCGTCATCACCGCGAACACTAGTCTTAAGAGCTTGCAACAGCTACACGGATGAAGGGAGGCCCGATGTCAAAGGGTGGTTCTCGCCTCAGCGTCGCGCACTTTCGTCTTACACACATGCAACAGCCATACGGGTAGAGGGCGGCCCGTCTCAAAAATGCAAACCTCGCCTTAGCACATATGTAAAAGTGCCCAACAGTTCCACCACCGCGCCCCCCCAGCACGTTGAGGCGTTCTTGACTCGTCTGAAACGAGGTCTGGAGCAAGCTAGACCCTTTTGGAGCCAGGGAGCCCCTGGGGCCGCGAAAAGGCCCCCAAGACGCCCAAATTGGACCCCGAGAAACCGTCAAGAGACAGCCGAAAAGGCTCCGAGAGACTTCCAAGAGGCCTATGGACTTTCTGCTCGCCCTCCTCCTCCTCCTCCTCCTCCTCCTCCTTTTGAACCAGTTGAACGCCGCCAGTCCCCTGCATCCGAAGCGCAAGAGACCGAGCAAAAAACTACAGAATTACGACTCCCCGATTGTTACCCGCCTCTGGACCTCGCTCGCCCCCCGCAAATTTCACACACGTAAACCGTACCTTCCCTACAGATCGTGTGTCCGTTGGGTTCAGGAACCAATTCGAGCTGGGGGGCGTCGGGGTACGTTGGGGTTTGGCCTTGCAACGTTCCACGTCCCTCAGGCCCCCCCGAGACGCTTCCCCCAGCATGAGACCGATAAACTTACCACTTCCCGATTCCTTTACATGCAATGTGGCACCAGGATCGGAGGACCTCGGATTGCTCCCCCAGCTGGGTCCCGCCGAGAGCCAGGCTGTCGGCAGTCTTGTCGCCGAACCACGCGTAGAATGTGAAGCCCTGTGCCTGGGCCTGATGCCAGGACAAGTGAGAACATACCTTGCACAGCTGGATCTGGTTCCAGCCTATGTGAAGAGCTTTTGCCAGGACCTTGGACCAAACCTCCGAGAAAGCCAAACGCGAAACACCCTGGTCGGGGCTAGAGCTCCAGACGTAAAGCAAAACTTTACAGTCAGCCCATTTCTCTAGAGGCACACAATCAGCACGCACGAGAGCCATGTACAGGGCCCAGAGCTCCCCCCCGTGATGGGCTGTGCAGGGTGGGGAAGAGGACCGCACATGCTGCCCAAAATCTGGCTTCCTGGGCCGACACTCACCGCAGCCCATCCGGCACGAGTGAACCACGGGAGAGTAGAGTCCAGGGCCGAGCCATCCAGGCACAGAGCCCCTCCAAGACGGCCACACCTCGGGACCGTGCTACACCGCCAGGCCTGCTGCACGAAGGGGGCTGGGGGTACACCGAATCGCTGACGACAACAGCTCCCTAGTGTAGAGGAGACGCCACTTGGGGGAGGAGGCCGATTCGCCAGCGCTGACCAACCGATCGAATCCAAGCAATTGCCTAGGAATAGCATATGTGCCGCATGGTGCCCCAAGGGTGCCCACACACGAGACAGGCAGAGCACGCCGAGCGCCTATCAAGATACAGGTCGACCTGGGCAAACATCCCCCCCGAAGCAACTGCTGACAGAAGCGAGGCGTCGAGTCCGTTGCCCAAGGCGCGATTGGCACACCTCCTGGAGTGCGTCCAAGAGGGGGAAGAAGGCATCATCACTACCTAAACAGGCCTCATGAATGCCAGGTCCCGAAATAGAGCGTCTTTGGTACCAGCATCAACGATCGCCTAAACTGTCCCGGACCCATACTCGCAGAAGTCCAATACGAGCCCACGTCATTCCCCTCCTCCTTCTCCTCCGATGTTTCATCCATCCTCCACTTCTTGGGGTACGGCAGCATCCCCAACCCGTCATTCCGCTGCATGCTCATCCACATCCCTGATCAGGGCAGGTTGCCTGGGCATCGTTTCTGGATGGAGTGGTGGGGTCACTTTTTGTTAGCAGCCGCAGGCGAGGGCGACAGCGGCGAGTAAGGTCCAAGCGGGCCGCGCGGGAGCCTAATTGCCTAGCGCGGAACAGAGCAGGACGTACCGCCGGAGGAAGCCGCAGCGCCAGGGCTGCGGGGCAGTGCTGGGGGCGGGGACTGCAAGCTGCTGGGGCTGCCAGGGAACTGCAAGCGTGCAAAGACCAGGGAGCTGAGTCACCAGGTGTGTGAATTGGGGCTGCAGCGAATGAGCCAACCACAGTTGGGACGCAGCCAAAATGGCGCGAGGGTCTGCCAGGGTGTGACCATGGAGGTGACCGATCGGTACACTGCGACGACTGCCATGGGTGCCCAACTTGGTCCAAACTGGCGCACTGGGTGGCGCCACCAAAGTCGCACACCAAAACCCTGGAAAGGAGCACTGACCCTGCGAGCGTCCGGCCACGAAAGGCCCCAGACACGGGCGAAGTAGCCAGGGGTACGATGGATGTAATCGACACCGTTAGGGCCTGAACCACCGGATCAGGGGAGGCCACGCGCACTCTCAAGCTGGAACAGACGACTGGTGGGGGTACTTTTTTGGTCGGCGGCCGCGCGACAACGGTCTGGCGGCAACATGCGATGTCCGGGACGGCGGTACAAAGCGAATTGCACACACAGCGCGCGGTGCACGCGCACTGAGCAAAATGCTCCGCATTCGCAAGCAGACGCACCTAGGCGCCGCCCAATCCAGAGTGAACGAGCGGCCAGTAGACTGGCGGGGTCACTTTTTTGGTCGGCGGCCGCGCGACAAAGGTCAGCTGGCAACAGGCGTGTCCGGGACGGCGGAACAGCAAATTCCACGCTAGGCGTGCAATGCACACGGCAAATTACACGCGATGCGTGGAGTGCACATGCACTGAGCAAAATGCTCCGCATTAAGGCAAACGCACATAGGCGCCGGCCACACCGAAGTGGAGCAGACAGCAGCGCGGGCGCAACGGAGAAAGTCGCCCTGTCGGCGCCAAGCTGAGCAAGGCATCGGTTTACGGAACAGAAGCCCCGGAGATGGTCGGAATGCAACAACCAAGCACACAGCTGCTCGGAGCTTGGCCCAAGCTCCGAGCAGCTCCCCTAGCCGAAAATGCGCAGGGAGAACCGAAACTACAAAGCTGAAGGCTGAACCACTCAGCGCGAAGTCCGTACCACCGCCGCACGCGGGGTCGGCGGAGACAGGGGCAAAGGAACGGCAGGGACCTACAGAGCACTCACTCCACGATCCACACCGCTGCCCGGGGGGGGGGCCGGTGTGTCAGTCATCGACTCCGAAACCAGTGACAGGCCAGGGAAGCAACGATGAGAGAGGACACGCAGGTCCAAGAGCCGGCACACTGCCGCCTCGCGGATATCGGCCACGAATGTCGCCGAGAGTCAGGGCTGAATCTGACTATAAAGTGGGCAGAGGAACGGCAGGTACCTGCAGAGCACTCACTCCACGGACCACACCGCTGCCCGGGGGGGGGCCGGCGCGTCGTTCATCGCATCCGAAACCAGTGACTGGCCGGGCACGGGCCGGTACACTGCGGCCTCGCAGGTAACAGTCACGATTGTCGCGCTGGAACGCAGCCAGGGCTGAATCCAAGCCGGCACACTGCAACCTCGCGATCTGAGGGGGGGCGCAGCCAACAGCCGCAATGCACGCATGTCTCTGGGGGGGGGCCGGCGCGACGGTCATCGCATCCGAAACCAGTGACTGGCAGGGGCTGCAACGATGAAAGGAACGCACTCTGGCCCAGGAGCCGGCACGCTGCAGCCTCGCAGGCAACGGCCACAGCCGTCGCCGAGATCCACAGCTGCCACGACCAGCCCATGGAGCGCTGGGGCGTAGCCGGGGCTGAAGGGGGGCGCAGCCAACAGCCGCAATGCACACGTGTCTTGGTAGCAGCTCGCACAGAGCAAAGGATGAGGGGTGGTTGCCCACACAGTAACCACAGACCAGTGCCCGGTGGCTGTCAAGACGCAGCGAGCACGGGGGGGAGGCGATGAAAGGCCCGTAGCAGCCAGAACGGGGATACAAGGGTGCCTTGACCCCCCGCGGGAGGCCCAGGGCCAGAGGGACAGCAGCCCCCGCGTGCGTCCAGGGCCGGTAGGCCCGGAGGCATCCCCCCCGCAGGCCGCGTTTAGCAGGGCCGCAACGGGCCCGATGCCAGACCCCCCCCCCCCCACACACGCACCTGACCCCCACGAGTACGATGCCGATGCAAAGTGCGAGCCAGCAGAATGTGTCTGCGAGAGCCCCATCTATAATAGGACATCCAAGTATCATGACAGCAGCTGCACGCCGAGAACACCAGCGCACGATGGGGGGTGCAGCAAACCGCCGCGAGACACACACACACACTCTCTCTCTCTCTCTCTCTCTCTCATGGCGATGGGGGGCGCAGCCAACAGCCGCAAAGATCACACCTCCATTCGCACTGGGGGTGCAGCCAACAGCCGCAGAACATACACTCCCTTTCGCACTGAGCGCGCCAGCGTCGGAGGCGCCACCGGGGGGGGGTACATGCGCCTCCGCCCGGGGGGGGGCGAAGGATGCATCCCTTTCGCAGGCCGCGTCTTGCACGGCAGCAACGGGCCTGCTGCCAGCGACCACCCTCCACGCACCTGCCCCCCGCGCGTGCGATGCCACGAGGGGGGGCAGCAAAAGCTACTGCGGGGGGGCGGCCCACCACTGTTTTTTGCGCTTCTTGGGGGCCTGGTTGTTCGGGTGGCCCTTCGCCGCGCGGTGATCACTGCTCACTCCGCCGCTTCGACCCAGGCGCAGCCGCCACAGCCGAGCCCGGTCGACGTCGAGGCCCAGCGCGCCACTGACGACCCGTACGTCGCACTTGTGGCTGCGGAAGGATTCCAAGAAGAGGCGGCAGGTTTGCGGGTCGTGCCGAAGCGGGTCGAGCGCGCCCTTGCTGCCGGGCACAGACTGCCGCTTGGCGAAAGCGTGCCAGGCGCCAGTGAACATCGGCCCCGGTGTGACTTGGAGTCGTCTGATCGCCTCACCGGGTGTTTCCCCAGGGAGGCCCCCCTGGATGTTGTTGATTTCCGTTTTGTACATCTGCTGTCCCGCGTCGGGATCCTTGGGCTCTGGCCATTGGCGCGGGCCAGGCCATTGGTGCTGCCGTGCATCCTGGCCGCAAGCCTCCAGCGCACCGGCCTCGTTGTCCTGGCCGGAGGGCTCGCGATCTGCACGCGACAGTTCAGGCTGCACGCCTGGCGGGGTTCTGCGGGGAGAAGCAGGCCGCATGGTCGGCCGCCAGGCGGGGGTCGGATCGCATCCGGCAGCCAGGGCGGACGCCGCCCTGTAGTGCGCGGAGAGAGGCCCCCTTCGCTGGCGTTCGCCTTCGGGCCTGCGCCCGCCGTCGCTCCAAGGCGCGCCCCCTTCGGTCAGCGCAGGACTCTCTCCGGCCCCTAGAGCGCCGCCGGTTGTGCCAGGTACGCGCACGCACGGCGACGCAGCTTCCATTGCCGGAGCACGAGGCTCTTCGCCAGTCGCGCACTGGACGTCTGGAGAGGGCGCCTAGGGTTCGCCGCCCATAAGAATGGGTTCACTGACAGGGGAAGGGGGGCGAATAGGCGCGAAGGGGTTTCTCCCGACGAGCCAGCGGGTGGCTTCGCTGTCCTGCGTCTGGACGGTTGGTCCGCGGCCCCCTGCTGGGTCTGCGGCGCCCCCAGAGGACCGCTGACGGTCTGATTGTTCTGAGGGGGGGCGGGGGGGGCACGGCGCGGCAGGCGAGCCCCTGCTGTCCCAGGATCTCGCTTAGCTGACTGTTGCGGATACCGTCAGCACTATCGGGGGCCACCCCCTGTCCACCCGGCTCTATTCCAGAGACACGAGTGAAAGCTTGTGCCACGTCCGCACCTTCCGAGGCTTCCGTCGCTTCGGGCCCCCGATACTCCGCGGCCCCCGCAGCCTCCGCCGACTCCGCCGTGACCTCCCTATCCTTTTCTCTGCCCTGCTGCTGCTGCTGAGGGAGCACGGGTACCTCTGCGTCTTCTCGTGGGTTCTTCTTGTGGTCGCTAGGTGGCTCTTGTTGCTGCTGCGGGGGGTGCTGCTGCTGCAGCTGCGGGGCTCTGGTGCTGCCGCTGCTGCAGCTACTGCTGCAGTGGCTGCTGCGGCTGCTGCCCTGCTGCTGCTGCTGCTGCTGCTGCTGCTGCTGCTGCAGCTGCTGGGTTATGTTGCGGTTATGTTGCTGCTGCTGCTGCTGTTGCTGCGGTTGTTGTTGCTGCTGCTGCTGCTGCCCTGCTGCTGCGGCTGCTGCTGCTGCTGTTGTTGTTGCGGCTGCAGCTGCCACCGCGGGGGGTCGCCGAGGGCCGCGGCGGCGGCCGCCGCAGCTGCTGCGCCAGCGGCCGCGCCGCTGGCGGCCGTGGGGACGGCCGCGGCGGCGCAGGCCGCGGGCACCGCTCCCGCGCCCCAGCTGGTGGGGTTACGCGAAGTGTCTAGAATAGAAACGAGAGCTGGCACATGTTCCAGCCTTCTGAGCAGAGCTGGAAGTATCGCCACACAGAATGCTGCGCTGGCACAATGTTGGAGCTTGACGCCAGGAGCCATACACATAATGGATGGAGGCGGTCTCTATCAAGATGGGGCTCTCGCTTGACACAACTTCAATGGCCCGACCAAGAAAAGCACTGTGCACCAGTTACACAGACGTGGCGTAAAGGGCGAAGATGGTCAAGGAGCGCTTCTCGCGGCGAAAAAGAATGAGTGTATGGACTTCCGAGGATGGGAACATGGAATGGGAGGGTGCATGACAGCATCGTTGGCGCATCCTTGGTCCCCATGATCTTCCATCACGATCATACTCGTAACGACTACCATCAGCATCGCAAACACTGGCATCTTGATGTAAGCCCAAATGGTCGCGCTTGCAGTCGTAAATCTCCCACGGAACACTGACCTTACCAACACCATGATCACCGCAATCACTCTCATACGAATCGTGAGCATCCACACTATAGTATCCATCGTCACCACCACCATCAGCATCATGCACATCATCCGCATAAGCATACCACTCGGCATCATACACGCTACTACCATCACATGCACCATCGACAACACCACAGTATTCAAAATCTCACCAGCAAACTTATGATACTCACCATCGCCACCACATACTATCATCATACCTACCAGCGTCACACACTCGACAGGTTCGTGTCTTTTCCACGTGGATCGCTCGACCTTGAACGGTCGCGGCGTTCACATGAACCAGCACCACAAACATCATCATCATCATCATCATCATCATCATCATCATCATCATCATCATCATCATCATCATCATCAGCATCATCATCATCATCATCATCAACAGCAGCATCATCATCATAACCATCATCATCAGCAGCAGCATCAGCATCAGAATCAGAATCATCATCATCAGCATCATCATCGACATCATCATCATCATCATCATCAGCATTCTCAGCATCATCATCAGCATTATCATCAGCAGCATCATCAGCATCATCATGATAATCATCATCAGCATCATCAGTAGCAGCATCATCATCAACGGCAGCAGCAGCATCATCATCATCATTAGCATCATCGTCGTCATCGTCGTCAGCATAATCATCATCTTTGTCATCATCATCATCATCATCATCATCATCAGCATCATCATCAGCATCATCATCCGCATAATCAGCATCATCATCGTCATCCTCGTCGTCGTCGCCGTCACCAGCGCCAGCCTCGTCGTCATCATCAGCATCATCAGCATCATCACCACCACCACCATTATCATCATCAGCATCATCAACAACATCATCATCAGCATCAGCATCAGCATCAGCGTCATCATCAGCAGCATCATCAGCATCATCGCCATCATCAGCATCATCATCAGCAGCAACATGCATGCGTCAGCATGCATCACCGTGGCGACAACTTCTTTCAATCGCCATTCGCCACTGGCACAGCCGCGCGGAGAAATTCAGGATAGAAACTACCGTGTGACGCCACTTACTGTGATAGAAACCAGTTGGATCAGCCAGGCTCTCTAAGTAGCCCCACGCGGGAAAGCTGACAGCGACGACAGTGTTCAGGATATGAGTTTATTCGCGAAGACAGCGGGCGCGGTGAAAGTAAAAAAATGGCGACGGGACGACAATGCCGCAAGCGAGGACCCAACCGTCCTTCGCAATCCGCGGCGCGAACCCCCCTATGTCTCTGTGCGAGTTAGCCCCCCCCGCTGTCCCGCAGGGTCTGGGGAAGGTGTGTTTGTCCGTTCTCATCGGAGAGAAGCAATTCCCCCCCCCGATTGTGACGGAGGGCAGGCGGCGGGGATGGGCGGATTAGCGGGTTGACTGGGTAGCCTGGTGGCTGGTTTGGCTGGTTAGCGGGTGGGCTGGTTGGGTTGGTTGGGTTGGTTGGGTGGGCTGGTTGGGCTGGCTGAGGCAACGTGTTCCGACTCCTACCACTCCGCGCGGACACACATCCCACTCGATGACTTGTGTTTTGGTCACGCGCGGAAAAAGTTCTTGATACCTGGGTGGAGTGACTGAGCCATAAGCACACCCGAGATCGACTACTCCTCCGAATGGTGCAAAGGTCACGTCAGGAATACCCAGTGGGGCTGGGAACACCGTCGCCATTGCAGATGGAAGAAGCGTTTGTCACGACATTGTAGCCATCACAGTCACAGTCACTATCAGTCACTATCAGCATCAGCAGCATCATCAGCATCATCAGCATCCCTGCTACCGGTGCTGCCTTGGACCGAGAAGCTGTCGATCCTGAAGAAGTGCAGTGGCAGGTGATAAGGGAGGCATCATCATCATCATCACCACACAATTCCCGGCGTCATACATATCGATATCCTGCGTACCATCACCAGTCAGCGCTGTCCCCACCCACCACCCCGAAGCTCCGCGGTGGCCAACACGTCGAGCCCGCGCAGGGCAGGGGGGATCACGTCCCTGCGCCCGCCCGACCAGCGGCGCGGAGGCAGAGGGGGCAGGACGTCGGGGAGGCGGCGAGGCAGGGGAGCAGGGGGAAGGGGGGAGAGGAGTGAACGAAGGGCAC